AGAATTTTAGCAGAGAATGCACGCCTACGTTCGACATTGAACACGAAGCTCCTCAAAAGCTCGGAACGTATGCTTTTATAACAGAATACTTCAGGAATTGAAACTGTTGCGTCGATCTACAGCCAAGGAAACTCTATTTAAAAGATGGTTGCACGAATCGAGAATTCAAATAAAATCGCTTTTAACGAGAAATACATACAACTTAAATTCAAATTATTCTACGCGGTCTGCAATCACAATTCATATTTCATGGAGATATTTGTAATAATTGAAATTCAGAGTTTTCAGAAAGGCAAACGTTCTTGCGTATTTGATCAAGACCAGATCCAAGTTTTAAAAGTTAACTCGACGAAACGATTCTTACAAATTAATAAAACATCTCCACATTTTGTTCCATTTTCAATTTAGAAGAGTTCAGAAGTATTAATTTGCGAGAGCACAAATCGAGGTTGCACGAATCGAGAATTCAAATAAAATCGCTTTTAACGAGAAATACATACAACTTAAATTCAAATTATTCTACGGTCTGCAGTCACAATTCATATTTCATGGAGATATTTGTAATAATTGAAATTCAGATTTTTCAGAAAGGCAAACGTTCTTGCGTATTTGATCAAGACCTGATCCAAGTTCTAAAAGTTAACTCGACGTAGAGTCTAACTCGACGAAACGATTCTTACAAATTGATAAAACATCATCCAGAAGTATTAATTTACGTGTGTTCCAGTATCGGTTGTTCTTAACTAGCGTTTCGATATGTTCGTTGACGTACATAAAGCTGATTCCACCGTAAATGTGCGTTTAATTGTTGTCAAATCGAGCGAATAACTACCGAATACGTATTGCTGTGCACAATTGCCGTTTCACGTCCCGTTTGATAGATCGAGCACGGTTGTTTTGTTTCGCATGCGATTAAGGTATATTGCCCCGCTTTTGGCAGCGGCTACACGTTTATGGCTCTTCACTAGCACGGCTTTATTACTCACCTACCCGCAAACCTTCCCTTCTTTAGAAGCTGCCTTAAAAAGATTCAGGTCAGGATACTATGCGCTTCGTGGAACTCGCGTTTCACAATTTTCCTCTTTTCGCCGCTCGCTTTTTCGTGCTCGGACGGCGGCACTTTATAATTGGTCAGATGTCACACGCATTTTGTATCGATACTCGTGAATCGTTTTACGCTTCTTCGTCATGCGTTCCTCTTCATATTCTCTCTTCTCTTCTTTTTTTCTAAGGCTTCTCTTTTTAGCAGTAACCAAACTTTGAAGTTTCATCGCGATTGGTTACAGTGCGTTGCAAGTAGCATTAAAATAGATTATACTTCACATTTCATTATTTCTTAATAATTTGTGTATTACTTTTGTAGTAAACTTCGTGGTGTATGTAGTAAGAGTTTTTCAAAATTAAGCTTTGCTTCTTTTTCTGAAAATCTTTGTTTTATCGACAAGCAAAATTAAATTTTATTTGTAAATGGTACGAATAAAATAGAGTTTAAAGATTTGCATTATTTTTAATGTCTGTATATGTATTTTCCAGCAGAACATTTACGTAATCTTTGCAAGCCTTCGCAATTATGGATTTTGAGTATTAGCATTTCTTGCAAAAAGTATTTGATCGAACGTACCAAGTCTGTGTATATATAATTACACTTATACATACATTCGAGTATTTTCGTTAACAGTACAAATGATCAATGATCACAATCAAGATTAATAAAATCCTACTATAAAACTTAACATAAAAATGTATCTTCTATAAAAAGATATTTGAGAAGATTCACAAATCAAAGTAATTACTACAGTATAGATAATAATATCTATAGTGTAGATTTTTAAGATGCAAGATGAAACATAAATTAACAAGGTTTTATAGCATTTTGATTTTGCAATTTTAAGTAATCTTTTAATTGACGAAGCAACCTTTTCTTTCAATATAATTCTTGTAAAATGCCGCGTGAAAATGAGAATTTCATATCGAATGGATTGTATCTCAAAATTTTCTACGATATCCCGACAAGTATTAACGATATTAGATTTTTAAATGCAATGAGAATTCGCAGCAAAGTTGGTAAATCGAAATCTCTTATTTCCTCGGAGCGACGTTGAGAAATACACGATTCTAGATAATCGCAGTCGGATAGAAAATTGTTTTCGCCGAGTTGGAAGCGGGAGCGAACCAATATTATCATTATCAGGTTAATTGATTTCCCTCATCCTCGAGCAGGTTATTTTACTTCTTTAATAGAAGGTTCGCTGGAGGGGAGTCATTTCCTTTCACGGAAGAATTTCAATTGAAAGACAATATCGCGCGCAAGATTGCGTGCCGTAGGAATGATATTGGACATGCGATCGCGAACCAGAAAAAACGCGCCGTGATGGTGCAATAAAGAGTCAGTATCAGTAATAGGTTGAACGTTAAAAAAAAAAAAGAACAGGAGAGATAGAAACACACATATAGCGTTTTTATATTCCTTTTTATCTTTCAGCTGGACGCCCGACGAATTTCAACTGGCGTAATCCCGATCGTAAAGCGAAATTCCAGCCGATCGTTGTTATCGATAATGGTTTTCGTAGCAGATGCTAGATTCGACGCTGCGTTCGAATAGCTTTTATTACGAAAATACTTCTGCTTGTCTTATCTATGCGCAACGATCGTTATTACTTTCAAACCGGACTTTAACGCGATGCTATAAAATGACGTGCTTGCGAAACTTTTACGCAAGGTCACCGAGATTGTTGTCGAAAAATAAAGCACGCGGCACTTTTGTCACTACAATGACACAGTTCGGCATCTTTCGCCGTGTTGGTCAGCCTTACGTTGCTTACAGTCTAGAATTTTCATACTTCTGACTACTAGACTGCGGATATTTGTCCAAAAAAGTCCCGCATCGATTGCAAGAAACAGAAGCTAAATAAATATTCATTCGTTTAATCATTTGCATTATATACGACTCCTTCCACATTCCTGATAACACAGTTAATTGAACGAAGATAATTTTTGTTTCTTATACATCTTCATCTACTTTCGTTGCTAGATCACAACGTTATTTTCGCTCGGTCTGACATGTTTTCCTTCGTGCTCCGTTATTTGTCTCGAAAGAAGACACTCGTGGGTCACGTATGGTGCGACATAAATTTTTCATTTCGACACTACGAAAAATTCGAACTTCGCCCATACATTCTCGTCGTCCCGCTGGCAGTACCGAGAATTCAATTCCATGAGCTTCCGATCGATTGTGGTCTCTGGCTTGAGGACACATTTCCTGAAATTCTTCGACGTCTCGTTNAGAACAGGAGAGATAGAAACACACATATAGCGTTTTTATATTCCTTTTTATCTTTCAGCTGGACGCCCGACGAATTTCAACTGGCGTAATCCCGATCGTAAAGCGAAATTCCAGCCGATCGTTGTTATCGATAATGGTTTTCGTAGCAGATGCTAGATTCGACGCTGCGTTCGAATAGCTTTTATTACGAAAATACTTCTGCTTGTCTTATCTATGCGCAACGATCGTTATTACTTTCAAACCGGACTTTAACGCGATGCTATAAAATGACGTGCTTGCGAAACTTTTACGCAAGGTCACCGAGATTGTTGTCGAAAAATAAAGCACGCGGCACTTTTGTCACTACAATGACACAGTTCGGCATCTTTCGCCGTGTTGGTCAGCCTTACGTTGCTTACAGTCTAGAATTTTCATACTTCTGACTACTAGACTGCGGATATTTGTCCAAAAAAGTCCCGCATCGATTGCAAGAAACAGAAGCTAAATAAATATTCATTCGTTTAATCATTTGCATTATATACGACTCCTTCCACATTCCTGATAACACAGTTAATTGAACGAAGATAATTTTTGTTTCTTATACATCTTCATCTACTTTCGTTGCTAGATCACAACGTTATTTTCGCTCGGTCTGACATGTTTTCCTTCGTGCTCCGTTATTTGTCTCGAAAGAAGACACTCGTGGGTCACGTATGGTGCGACATAAATTTTTCATTTCGACACTACGAAAAATTCGAACTTCGCCCATACATTCTCGTCGTCCCGCTGGCAGTACCGAGAATTCAATTCCATGAGCTTCCGATCGATTGTGGTCTCTGGCTTGAGGACACATTTCCTGAAATTCTTCGACGTCTCGTTACGCTCTATCCTAAATATCCTCCTCGGTCTTCTGTTTCTTTCCTCTTCTCCTTTTTCGTTGATTACCACGTGTGTGTTTTTTTCATCGCAAATTCCCAATTATTTGTACAAAATTAGCAACGCCTAGTCAGACGAGCGACGAAGCCTTTAGTGGCTTTAGAAAATCATTAAAGATTTATTGAAATCGACTATCAAGTTTTTAGTGACTAATTTATCTTCTTGGAAAAGCGGCATCCTTTAAAATTTGTAACAAAACATGCCACGTTCCATAATAAATATATATTTTAATTCAAGTGACTTTACTTTACCAGGGCGTGATTAGACGAGGAAAATTAGCTGTTAGCGAACCAGCTGATTTGTATGTGCGACATTGAATTTTACAAATTGTTTGTAATTCGTAGTGTCATTTTGTGTAGAACTTGTAGGAATTCATGTGCATAGATCCACGAGATAATGTTTCAGGAGTGTTCGCGTTTCGCGAATGGTTGCGAAGACAGTTAACGATTCAAATAGGAAGTACATTTTCCGTAATCGCACTCCAGAGGTGCAAGAAACCCATCACGTCGGTTTACTACCCTCGCGCGTCGCGAGTAATTTTCTAACGGACTACTCGATCTTCAATTGACGTTTCCCAATGGTATTTGTTATTTGGCCGACATCCTCTTCCATCGTCTCGATTTTCCTCCATCGGATGCTGGTCTCGGCCTCGAATTACGTGACAGAATTCAGTGTTTATGTCGGAGGAAATCAGGTACTTAAGCTTGTATTAACTCTTAAAACCAATCGCGTAGCGCCGCTACTAATCTTGTAATTATAATCGTGTTATCGTTACCGATGGTCTAACTAAGTATACCAAAAATTACTGTCACCGGTCATCGCATTGTTTAATAATATCGTTACTCACGCTTTGTATAAATACATAAAATCAAATTGGCTTTACCAATGAGCACATTGTTTACTAATTTGCAGGGGTGAAATTTTATGATAGTCTGTAATAGGGTTAATAGCGTTTGAAAGTGTCAACGGCACCTACACTATTTTAACTAAAAGAAGAATGAAAAGAGGTATCTTCCTCAGCTCCAATTGCCATTTGATTACAAAAGAATCATAAATTATTACATCTGATAATATGAAATTCAACCCCTAATCAGCTTCCAGCGCATTGTGTTTTTAGTCGATGACCTTCAGAATAGAACTTTAAAATTTGTCATTGCAATTTCTCATTAGCTCAACAAAATAACTGGAAATTATTTTCTTTCTAATTGGTCATTCCGAATTGTACTTTTAATAGTTACATTATCAGTGTAATTAATTTATCTCGGAGATTCACGCATGACGCGCACGCACGTTCTGTTTAGTTTCGAAATTCGTGTACGCTGGTAGACACGCTTCGTACATTTAGATCAAATAAGTTTCTAGATTCGAGGAATCTCTTGCTTACTAATTACATACCATTCGAAGTGATTGACGCAACACTACACACATTACTTCTGCAACTTCTGTACAATTATATACAGCGTTGGCCGAACTGAAGCTCGAAATGTTTATGTGCGCACATTAATATTACATATAAAAAAAATATATTGATTCGGGGTGAAACGATTCACATTGTGCAACGTTATTCTTAATGATTATGTTGTTGATTTTTACTTATACGTTTATATACTTTTTACACTCTTCCACTCGCCTTCGAAACGATTCGTGTTCAAACGATAGTAATTATCAACGATAAAATATATCTACAGCTGTTTTATTAAATTCTCCAACCAGTATGTCATATTTTCTGGAACACGTTAATCTCTCTACACTCTCGATGTGCTATGAATTCAGCAAAAATTCAATCCAGCAAGAAAATTACTCAAATCTCACGTAGCATGGAGAGTTAATATTAACATTTCATCTTTCGGTAGTTACTTAACTCATTATTAAACTGCGGATTTTATGCGTTCATGACAAAAATGTGTAGATCGAGTGCAGAACAGTGGGAAGCATTTAAAGAATTTTAAAATGCTGTTATATCACTTCGAACCTGATAAAATGATACACCCTTTAACACGGGGCCTTGTAAGAGAATCTAGTTGTGCTTAAATAATGTATTGCAATTGTACCATATAATAATAAATTATAATCTTGTATTAATGTATTTATGTGATATTAAGATTACGTTAATGTTATAAAATTAATAACGTAACGTTAATGCTATTAAGATTATATTGTTATTTTCGTATCAGTGTATGAAAAATTCAGGTCCGTATTTTGGGCCCGTCGTTGAGGGATTAAGAAAAAATAAATAAATCTCTACGCAACTCCAGCATCTTGCAGTTACTGTAGACACATTTTATTTTGCATATAAATCCGTAGTCTACATTGATTGCCTATCATTGGATTTTCAATAATTTTACCACAGTTCGTGGTTCATAATTTTCACAATAAATTCTTCGACGACGAAGACGATCCAGTAACCTCTTTTAGAACGATTATAATAAAAGAATACTTTGAAGGTTCCTTTCGACATACAGTCATTCCGAAGTAAAGCGTCAATAATATTTCAAGAACCAATCAACGTTTCCAACAAATTCTCCCACTAGCGCAGAGCAATTTTCGAATTCATTAGCCAAAGAGAAATCAAGAGCTCCCCAACGGATCGGAATAACCGTGCAGTTTATCTTGCAGCAGACGAATCGCCTGCTAGAACCCAAGTGAAAATTCATCAAAAACTGAGCAAGTGGTTCCGAATTTTCGGCAGTCTTCCCAACAAACAAATCACCACCGCAAACCCTGGCAGCCGTTCCTGAAATCGTAATCACATTACCGTGCTGCTGCACTTCCGAGCTTCCTTTCGGCCATCGCTGTCACTCATATAATGCAGGTATTCGCGGGACACCGTCGCGTTTCTAGGTCTGGATACATTAAGCGAAAGACGTACTTTAGTTATCAAGCATCAAAGGTTTCCTACATGTGTTCTCGCTCCCTCTAACCGGGAAAATCACCGAGCCACGTCAAATACCCAAGGGAATCTCTTTGGTAGTCTAGCATCTTGGCTGGCGTAGCACGCTTTACACAGTGGCTACGAAACGGGCTCTTCGGGGACCCGAAATCCTTTATCCGGCTGCGCTGAGACAGGACTCCGCCGGTTGTCACGAGAAACAGGAAGGACCTCTCGATGTCCAGAGCCAGCTTATCGTCGGCCGGGCCCGACGCGGCTCGGACGGCAGGACAAAATCCGCGGAACAAGCGAATCCTCTAACCGACCTCGCCGATAAACCGGTCACCGAACACAGAGTTAGGACACCGTCAGACGGCGGACAAATCGAGAACAGCTACCGCTGCTGGTCCTCGACCGGGCCGATTAATCCCGCGCTTTCGAGCGATTAATTGACCGGCGCGACAGGTGTGTCTCCGGATCGGCGATCGGCAACGCGTTCGCGGCCGGAACTTTCTCGTCTAACGGCGGCCAGAATCCGGACGATCGAGAGCGGACGCGTCCTCCATCCCGGATCACAGGAAGCTCTCGTTAGGCATGTTCGCGGCGACGTCGATCGCCTCGACTCCTTGGTTGTCCAAGCGTTCCGCGCCGTCCATCTCGCCGGCCTTGATCTCGTAGTTGTTGATCGGGTCGCCGTACTGGCTCTGATAGAACTCCTCGCGCATCATGTGGTTCAGGTTGCTGCACCGGAAGTAGAGGATCTCGCGGAACGGCTTCCGGAAGTCCCTGTTCAGGGTCGCGTAAATGATCGGGTTTAGAAGGCTGTTGCAGTAGCCCAGCCAGAGGAACAGGCTCGAAAGGAACGGCGGGATCGCGTCCGGGTCGCTCAGGAACGGTCTGACCAGCGCCAGAACGAAGAAAGGCAGCCAGCAGACGATGAACGCGCTCATTATGATGCCCAGCGTGGTGCTGGCCTTCCTCTCCTTCGCCAGGTGGAACCTCAGCTTCTTCTGGTGCGGCGAGTTCGTCACGCTGCAGGTGCTGTTCAAGTGGTTTCGCACGATCGTCGACTTGGACATCGGCGGCGTGATCGCCGTTGACGACGACAGGATCGGCTTCTCCAGTTTCTGCAGCATCGGACACTGCGACTCGTTGCTCTTCCGCGGACCGCCCGCGAAACAGTGCACCGCGTGGCCGCTGCACTGTAACAGAAAGAGCAAAGGAGGATTTAATTTCGCTACGCGGTCTCCGTTTTGACTTGTTGGTCTAGCGATTTATTTTTGTTTCGACGTCTTTGCGTTTTCTGTATTTATTTATTGTAGTATCACGTAAATACTTGGATGCGCTCTTAATAATATTTGTATCACGAATGCAGAAAATGCGCTGTCCGTCTATTGCAATGCTGGCTGTAACCGAATTTATACTAAATGAGAAAAACTAGTTTTTTATTTTGTATTAGGATTCAGCTTTGTGTTGGGAAACAATTTTGATTTTCGCCGTGTCGACTATTTGATGGGTTACGTCTGGTTTCGAAAAACAGTTTTGCAGTTCTAAAGTTTTTATAGAATTGAAGGAATTCGCTCAAGGAAAATGGAAATGTCAAGATTTATAGACAAATAATTAATTGACGCAGTAATTAGATCCTATTCCAAAGACTTCATCTTCCTCACAGAACTGATCGAATCTTTACCACTTCTTCGACAATATCATCTGTGATATTCTAGATTGATTTGATTCGTGCGTTAACATGTTATCCTTCGATAATAATTGTCGAATGTAAACTGTAAGAGTCCACAAAATCAGCATACATCAGAAATCACATTTAGTGATTTAGTCTAGATTAAATCCTTAGTCTAGTCTTAGATTAAATCCTTAGACTAAATCTGCTCGAGGTTAGATTTCATTTAACTGTTAAAACACTAACATCCGTTTACTTACACCTCTCGTTTTTATTGCGTTTATTTGTATTTTATAACCCTTTCAATGCCGACGAAAATTACAAAAGTACTATAATACAAAAAATATCTACTTTTCGTGTTATTTTTATTTTATATTATTTTATTCATTCCACGTTATTTGTACGTACATTATGGCGGTACAATGAAGCATACGAAGATCGTGGTAGGTCAAACTTTTCATAAATACCGCGTACGGACTAAAGATTGTACGGGTTAAAGTGCAGTGTTAGCGGTGGAATGAAACTTACGCAATTGATTCTATAAAAGTAAAATTATACGAAAGTGTTATTACGTCTTTGTTTTATACTCTTATGTAAATTCGAGGAAGTTCGCATGATATCGCAGACAAAAAGTTACAGACCGCGACGTAAGTAACGATTGCATCTCGTAATCTGCGGTCGCGGTACAATGCTAACAGAGTTCCTGAATCCTTCCGGAGAAACAACTCTCCGGTGGTTACCGGTGCGGCTAGCTACTGATAAACAGTTATCTGAGTAAACGCGAAACTACACGCGTTGATAGGGCCACGGTAATGATTCGATGCGTGTAACGGTGCGCAACTTATTTGCATAACGATAACAATAATTACACCCATAAACAAAGCCCACGTATTCCGCACTCGAGCAACTGTAAAGTTTATCGCTCAGGTTTCGTACTTTCTTTCGCCGAACTGGTGGACACGTAATAAACCGTGCGATCAATTATCTAGAAATATAATAATAATAATCATTTCTATCGTGTATGCAAGTTGAACAAAAATTAAATAATCGAAGAACTTGTGGAATTGTTATAATACTTTTATTATTCTAATTTTCTGACATGCGATATTTAGTAATCGTAATTGTATCGAAAATTTTGGAAAACATCTAAGAACTTTCTTTAACTAAAATACTAGACAGAATTATTAAATGTAGTATAATTTTGTATTACCGTTCAAGATAATAAACAAACGACTGAAATAATTCTATATAGTTTGTTTTTATCAGCAGGTCGTGAATCTTTGTGCAAAATAAAAATCTTCCAACACGATTGTACGAAATAGGTATTAAATAAAAATAAATTATTGAAAGAAATGATTTATTTAATAATTGGAAGATAGCGTAACAGTATTATTAAATTCATCTTGTGTCTTCGGAATTTCATATTTCATCAACACAGTTTTACTATAAATGCATAAAATCAGCACTCTACTTGTCCGATAAAAAAACTGCGTGAATTGTTACAATTTGACGTTAAACAGAAAGAGTTATTGACTTTCTTAATAACTTTAGCAAACAAAGAATGTTACGATATTATCAAGTTTCTCCAACGTTTTAACTGTTTCGCTTGTTTTCGCCGACGCTCGCCGATAAATAATTGTCTCCGTCCACCATAACTTTTAATTAGTAAAGGAGAATCGGAAGGCCGGTATAAAAAGTCTGATATACGAGCGTACGCAAAAAGCATAATAGAACACACGGGGCAATAAAATCAGTTATTTCGAGCGCAAAGGATTTAAAGAACGAGCAGCAAGAGTCTGCGCGCGGAATATCGATACTTTCCGATGGGCGCCCTCCTCGATAAACAATTCGATTAAATCGATTTGTGACACGCGGGACATTCGTTAGCCGGGCATTCAGCCGCGACCGATGAATATTCAAACGAATTCCTTGCACTTGAATCAGAACTTGCCGGAGGGATTCGTGTGTTCCGAAGGAGAACGTGTGTTCGACCGGGTCGACTTTTCGGCTAGTTTGAGGTCGGTTCGTTGCCCTGAAAACCTAATTGGTCGAATCGCGATCTGCACGAACAGAGGCGCGGCTCTATGGCGCTTTCGCGAGGATAAACAGATTAGTCCATTGAAACACTGACGAGCCTGATTGCAAGGTCACTTTACCGACTGGTTGTCAATTTGCGAATGGAAATCCCTGGATAATTGACGAACCTGTCCCTTGCATATTGTATTATTCCCATAACAGATTCTATTGTGTAATCGGCTGTACGAGCGAGCGAAACTATGTATGCTCGTTTCGGACACGTGAACATTGTTCCTCGCGCTATCACTTTATCGCTTTAACAGCCGCGCGTATCTCTGCGAGATGCGCCCAACTTGTTGCTCGGAAAATTGTCGTTGTTGTTATTATAAAATATAATATTTATTTAGTTTCATCGTTTACCTCGGCCAATGGCGGAAATCATTATCTCAGCTTGCCGCGATACGACCGAAAATGACAAATTCACGTTTGCGTGACTCCAGCCGATAAACACCGATTCAAGGAAGTCACGCATAAGTGATACTACCTGACAAAGTGTCAACGCCAGCGGCTGGAGTAGATAAGAGAAGAAAAATTCGACGAAAATGCTAAACGCGATTCCGGAGGAATTTTCTTACGTAACTTATTGCAAGACGATATTTTACAGAATGTTCGTAGTTGTACGAACGTAGTTGTACGTTTGTGTTGGTTACTTTTTATTTAATATCTCTTTATTATGACTCTTGCTATTCCTTGGCTTTCAAAGGAGCTCGGAAGAACGATTGCACGCAATTCTCCCAGCTTTCAATGCAATCTTGTTTCGCCCGTTCCAATTATGTTTCATTTGAAAAAACGAACTTCTTTTTGCATCGATTTTCCTGGCGAAATTACGCGGTCGCGTTTCCTTGACATTTCATGCGTTTCTTATCGTTGTTGTGTTCACACGAACCGAATATTTTGCTTCGCGATATTCAGTGAGAAGTATCGCATAATATCATTAAGCACAGCTTGCGCGCTTTTGTGCACGTGCTCGGCAAATAATTCACTATGATCGGAACTCTCAACTTCATCCATGCAGCAAAGTGATTCGAAACGAATTGTTCTGTTAAAAGCACTACAATTTTGGTAACGCGTGTATTTTTCGAACGAGCCTGGCATCGACCATAGCCACACTCGTAAGGACGAAAATAACCTTTGACTTTGTAACTTTGCATGGAGGGAACAGCCGCTACATGGGCTCACCACAAAACCAATTTCGTTCCAGGAGGCTTACACCAGCTATAACTCAACATGCTTTCAATAAAAATGCTTATAGAGATTCAGAGCATTACTCCAAACATATCAAAATGTACAAGATGTTCCGTTTATCCTGGATCCTTTAATACCTCCGTTATTTCTGCCGATACACAGGATAAAGTTATTCCGTTCGAAACGATGAATATTGAGATGAAGTTTTTTTTAATCAAGATCGGAGATTTTTCAAATCTTCTAAATGGACAATATTTTTTGGGTGTTAATATCGTTCCTTTTTATCGCGCTAATATGCATCGAACGGCGAATCTTCCTGACAAAAATAATATCCGAGTATATATATATATATATACTTAGGATTATTTATAATTTTATTCATGAATTTTTTCATGGCACTTGTTAAGGTACTCTTTCCGAACATTTTAATTTCTCCTAAATATAATAAAATTTCAATTAATTGTCAGAAACTAGATAGTCGAACAACAGTATTTATACTCTGGGTCCCAATGGACCCAAACTTCGCTGCCTATATATCCTACACGATCTGAATATTTCCTACATATCCTGAAATTATTTCGCGCTTATTTACTCAAATCTTTCTTCCATATTTATTGCACGTTCTGACGTATCTTACTTGTCTAAAATTCCGCAGCGTGGGCGTAATCGTTGATCATTGATCCGATTACTTATTACCCAACTCTGGCCACAAATTGCAATCGTTAACTTATTTTCCGAGGCGGCCATGTATCTCCAGGGGGAAATAATCCGGTTGATCGTGTAAGTACGAGCGGAGGCGTAAATACCGACGAAAATGCTTGTCGCGACGCGTCGAGGCAAAGCGAGGCAAAATGAGTCAGAACGAGTCAGAACGAGTCGGAACGAGTCGGAACGAGTTGGAACGAGTCGGAACGAAGTAGAGTGAGGCATAACGACGTAGGAGCGCGGCAAAGCTAGACGAGGCGAGGCAGTCCAGGCCGAGAAGCTAGGCGGCCGAGAAAATTGTCAGCGCGCAAACGAACCGAAATGCAGATTAGTTTCCAGGGCCCCGTCCTTACGAATGCAGATGACATTCGGGATAATTGAGAGGAGTGAAAATGCCCGCGGTGGTTTAAGACACGGACTCCCTTTCCCTCGAAACTAGCAAGACAGAGAAATCCGTCGGCTTTACGAGCTCTGTGACTATCCACCCCGCACCCTTCTGTCCAACCGCCAGGATCATCATTTCTCTCTCTCTCTCTCTCTCTCTCTCCCTCTAGTTGGGAATTAGCGTCTGCTCCCGTGATTATTTTTATCGGCGTTCCGAGCCTTTTTTACGCCTTAATTTTATGGCAGATTATAATCTAGCGGCTGTTTAAATCCGGGCCAGCCAGTTCCTCGCAGACTGCGGTCTCTTTATGCGAACGAGAATTATTACCTCCACGGGATCCACAGCGCCTCGCAGTAGTCCGGGAAGCGATAATTTCTGGCAAAAAGTGAATTTCTCAACTTTTATATTAAAAAATTTTTTTTTCTTCGAAGCGGGAACCTATTGAAGCTTCAAAATCCAAAATATTAGTTCCTCCGGTAACTGCCTTCGCGAGCTGGTATAACGTTATATGTGCATACAGGAAATCTTCATCTATTTAGAATATTTTCAGTTATTTAGACACTTCATAAGAATTTTATATCTCATCGAGAGAAAGTGTTAGTTTTTACCAATTTGAACTTCGTGGAAGCTTATACAAAATTGATTAAAAGTGATGGACATCGGACTTCATTTATAGGAAAGTTTGAACTATTGTTAACATATATAGGCAACTTTAAGTGCAAATACCTGTAAGAATTCCACGTAGATTTTAACAAACTTTTTGACTTTATAACGTTATAACTGGTGCCGAGACGAATTTTTTAATACTGCTATATATTTTTCACTTCATAAGATTATACTGACGTCGAGACGAATTCAATGACCTGATTATACTATGACCTTAAACCTTGTAATAACGTTAACACAATTTCGGACACAAATTACCGCTTCCCGGACTACTGCGCGCCGCGCCGGCGAGAATAGGATTGGTGACATTTTGTTTACTTTCCGCGGAACTTTTTTTCCCCTTGAGTGGAGAGCTTTTGCGCGACAGTTTTAACCCTTAGCACTCCGAACCATTCTGGACGTTGGCTACCAGTTACTCAGCGGCACTTTTCGGCAGAAACGGGCATTTACAGACCCTCGTATTTATTTAGTATGGTTTTGGAACTAACTAACATATTGTAATGATATTGGACTTATATGAATTTGGCTGAAATCGAGAAATTTGCAAAAAAATCAATATTTTATTTTTTATAATTTTGTTATTGTTTGTTTTATAATTTTGTTTTGTTGTTGTAATCGCTATCTATGCGAACTCTTTCTCTCGTCGCCTTGTTGCTTGGACGATATCACTATCACTGCTACCAAAACGATAGACNCGATATCATTATCACTGCTACCAAAACGATAGACCAACTGTAGAAGAAAACCTTCTACATATCTGTAGTAACATTTCTGTGTAACATTTCTAACATGTCTGTATAAACGTTTATCTGGAGCTCATCTTCGCTACTACTTGTGTCATGAGAATCATTCGTGTTTGAACGTTTCGCCATTGTTCTAATAAAAAATATGAATAAATACATAGGTTGAAAATTTCTAATTGTTATTACTAACTCGCAAGATGGTATTTACCAAAAAAACTTTTACCAAACAATTTATTTACCAAGAGAAGAATCACTTTTCCGATTTTCTCACTCGTTAGATCTATCTATACCGCTCGACGCTTCAAACCAGACTGAGTTCAGCTTTGAAAATCTTTTCCTCCAGATTT